CCTGCTGAAATATCTTGGTGCCACAGTCGCTGTTATTCTGATTATCGAACCATTCTTCTCTGGGCATCTTAGACCTGATGATTCGACATTAGGGAGAGCAGAGATGCTAAGCAATATAAGATATCACACCAGTGTCATAGTTTCCCTGTTCCATGCACTGGGAACTCTTTCTATAAGTTCCAGGCGGCTCAATCGTCTCAGGTAATGCTTTTCAGTTGGTTACGCGGGAGATTCCGCGACATTGTCTTGCTTTTGTTTCATATTTTAAATGACAATAAGTGAATTTCAAGATGGGTAACACACTGTAGATGCTAGTCCGAACATTGCAAGAAACATAACTCAACTTGCTGGTATATATTTATATTTTCTTTGTGGCATGTGGGTAATATTGTAACAGATTTTATTGTATTTTCTGATCACACAAAATGGTTGTTGTCTCCACTTTTTTGCATGTTTGTGTAATTATATGAGGGAGAAAGAGAGAGGGGATTAATTCAAAGCTTCTAACACTACCCTGTTAGATCCGGCATTGTTAAATATTTAGCATTGCTAGTTAAATTATTTTGGCGCTTTTGAACATATTGGTGATGGTTATGTTGTTTAATTTCGTTGCAAATTTTTATTTCTCTCGACAGTGGTTATGCTGACCGTATTCATGAGTTGTTGGTTGTCTCGAGAGAGCTCAGTAGTGACGACAAATCTTCTTTCCAGAGAAATAGAAGCAGAAATTATCTCTGTGAAGCTAGCTATGTTGAGTTTTCTGATGTCAAGGTAGATGGAAGACCTGTGATTATGTTACTGTATTCTTTTTGCTATATTTGGCTGTCTCTAATGTCATTGGATGCTCCTCAGGTTGTTACTCCAACAGGCAATGTCTTGGTGGAGGATCTCAGTCTTCGGGTTGAACAAGGATCTAATCTTCTGATTACAGGTAAGCTTTTATATTTTGGAAGTGAGTATTAATCTCGATTCCCCTTCTCCTGGAATTTGCATGCATTGATTATGGAAATATCTTACATGCTATGTAAAACTTGAAGATCTTACATGCTATGTGAAACTTACTACTTCGTTGTGATTTGTTCTCTTTCACAGTCATGAATAGTTCATAGAAAGGCATATGCTGCAAATGTTTTCATACAATGACAAAGAATCTTATAAAAATGAAATTTAATGTTGTAGAGTTTTGAGGCACTTTGTTTTGGTACCAGTTATTTTACTCGCGTTTTCTAAGTCCCTGAGGGTATAACAATATTGACCCATATCGAAAATAGTTTTAGTATGCTTATAGGCTTAACAATCCAGTTTCCTGTCCAATCCTTGAGAATTTGTGCTATTTATTCTGCAATGCACAATACTTTTGATTTCTTCCCTAGACTATTATCAGGTGCTTGACTTTTGATGTTTTGTGATGTCTGCATTGACATCCTTATTTTCTTTTGGTTTTGGTATATTGAGTCTTGTTTGTATGGTTTTGATTTCTGTTGTAGGTCCAAATGGAAGTGGCAAGAGTTCTCTTTTCCGAGTTTTAGGGGGTCTATGGCCCCTGGTGTCTGGACATATTGTGAAGCCAGGAGTTGGTTCTGATCTTAATAAGGAGATTTTCTATGTGCCACAGAGGCCCTATATGGCAGTAGGGACGCTTCGTGACCAGCTAATTTATCCTCTTACTCAAGATCAAGAGATTGAGCCGCTCACAGAAGCCGGAATGATTGAGCTATTGAAAAATGTTGGTATCCTCCTTTTTTCTGCTCTCTCTAGTAGGATGTTTTGTGCGTTGAGGTTTGTTTCTGTTGAGTCTACATATGTACCTATTTCTCCCTATTTTGCTTGTAGGTTGATCTGGAATACTTATTAGGTCGCTACCCAGCGGATGAAGAGGTCAATTGGGGAGATGAATTATCTCTTGGGGAGCAGCAAAGATTGGGCATGGCTAGACTATTTTACCACAAACCCAAATTTGCAATTCTTGACGAATGCACAAGTGCCGTGACAACTGATATGGAGGAACGATTTTGTGCTAAAGTTCGAGCTATGGGAACATCTTGCATAACCATTTCACATCGCCCGGCCCTTGTTGCATTTCATGATGTTGTCTTGTCATTAGATGGAGAAGGGGGATGGAGCGTTCACTACAAGAGGTATGCTTTTTATAAAGAAACATCGAGATATTGATGATTGTCAGTTTTGGTTTTTTATTAAGACTTAACAAAACCTTCAGGGAAGACTCTGCACTTTTGACTGATTCTGGAACTAATTCGACAAAAAACTCGGAGACAGATCGACAAAGCGATGCGATGGTTGTTCAACGGGCGTTTTCTGCAGCCAAAAAGGTCTTAAAAACCTTGACAATGTCTTTATTTTGTTTATGACTGCTTTCCAGGATGCAATTTTTGTTGTTGTAATTATAACCTTGTAATTGATTGTTGTGATAGGAATCTGCACTTGCGAATTCAAAAGCTCAGTCATACCAGACAGAGTTAATTGCAAAATCACCTGTTGTGGATAAAAATATTGTATTGCCTAGATTTCCCCAACTCCAAACATCCCCAAGGGCCCTGCCTTCAAGAGTAGCTGCAATGATAAACATATTGGTGAGTTTACTCTAAAAAGCCCATTAGTTTGGTTTCCGCACCTTTTTCCAATTTATGTTTCATCGTCTTATCTGCTGCATGTATTTAGACACTTTTTTTTTTCTTTCATCTTCTTCATCCCATTGTTCCAATGCCCTTTTGTTTTCAGTTTTCTTACAAAGCCCAATTCCCCTTTCTGCAATTTGCAGAAGCACAACCATTTTCTGCCACGTCAGTTGCTATCGTAGTTGATTTTACTTAGGAATAATTATCCTTTTTTTGTTTATTTTTTCAGATACCCTCTATATTCGACAAACAAGGGGCGCAACTTCTTGCTGTTGTTTGTCTTGTTGTCTCAAGAACATTGATCTCTGATCGAATCGCGTCCTTGAATGGTGAGTTTGCTCTGTTCCACCGCCTGAGAGTTTGTGGATAGAGCCTGTTTTCTCATAATAAACCTGGTTTTTGTAGGAACCACTGTAAAGCATGTATTGGAGCAAAATAAGGTGGCTTTTGTTCGCTTGGTTGGCATAAGTATTATCCAAAGCGCTGCATCTTCTTTCATTGCACCTTCAATAAGGTAGTCTTTACTTTCTCTGCATACATTATGCCTACAAGCCCCAATTATCTCATTACTAATTTCATTGTGAGATCAGAAAATATTTGCGTGTCTTCCCCTTTGTCAATCAGGAGAAAGCAACTTTTGACAAAATTTTTTACTAGCATCTGTTTGTGGTAGATTGTAGTTTATTTTTAAGCCTGATGGCTGATGTGGTTTCTCTAAATTATTTTGCTTCATGCTTTACAGGCATCTAACACAAAGGCTTGCATTAGGCTGGAGGATCCGTTTGACTCAGCATTTACTTCAAAACTATCTGAGAAATAATGCATTTTACAGGGTAATCATTGGTTAGATTACATTACTAACAGCCTTCAAATATTCTATGCAAATGGCCATCTGCATATAAAAAAGCACTGCTAATTATTGACTACAGTACAGGCTGAGTTATTCAGCGCAATCTAGCTTGAAAGAAAGCATGACTATCATTTTTTGTCTGTGTGTCAAAGCATTGCAGTCATATGCTTTGTTGATTGATGTATGTTACTTTGTAGTTTACTTCTATGGCTCAAAATTTCTGTTTGTTTCTTTGTTCTTTCCTGCAAGTTGAAGTTGTGAGAGCCTGGCAACAATAAAGATCATGTTGAGTACACATTTTTGTAGGTCTTCCATATGTCAAGCAAAAATATTGACGCAGACCAGAGAGTCACTCATGACCTAGAAAAGTTGACCACTGATTTGTCCGGACTGCTAACTGGATTGGTAAAGCCATCAGTTGACATTCTTTGGTAAGTAAGCTTGTCATATCATTTGTTGATCTTTATCTCGTGGTGGATCTTGGGATTGAATCATAACTAAGTAAAATGTTTCCCAAAGGTTCACATGGAGGATGAAGCTATTGACTGGTCGGAGGGGAGTTGCCATACTCTACACATATATGTTGCTTGGTCTTGGTTTTCTAAGGCGTGTGACACCCGATTTTGGTGATCTAGCAAGTCAAGAACAGCAGCTTGAGGGGAAATTTAGGTAATCCTTTATATGTTTCCTCTATTTTCATGGATGGTTGTTTCACAGTGACCATCTTGACTTTTTTCTGCTTATTATAGGTTTATGCACGAGAGACTGCACACTCATGCCGAATCTGTTGCATTCTTTGGAGGTGGAGCACGAGAGAAAGCTGTAAGCAACTTCCCAAGTTCTGTCTGTGCCAAGAAGTTGAAGCCCTATTTCTATTTCATGAATCTTTATCTGGGCCAGAAGCTTTTATAACACGTATTGTTATATTGAACTTGCCTTTTACATTTTTTTTCATGGCGCAGATGGTTGAAGCAAAATTCATGACACTTCTTGACCACTCGCTCATGCTTCTAAGGAAGAAATGGTTGAACGGTATTCTCGATGATTTTGTGACAAAGCAGCTTCCCCATAATGTAACTTGGGGACTGAGTTTGTTGTATGCCTTAGAACACAAGGGAGACAGAGCACTGGTCTCCACTCAAGGTGAAGATCCATCTCTGCTTTGAATTTCAGCGACAATTAAATCACCATTGCTTTTTTCTTTTTTTCTGATTGTAATTCATAATCTGTTCCCCTTTTGGTGCGACGGCTATTGACCAGGTGAATTGGCACATGCATTGCGATTCCTAGCATCTGTGGTCTCTCAAAGCTTTTTAGCTTTTGGCGATATTCTTGAGCTGCACAAGAAGTTTCTCGAACTTTCTGGCGGTATCAATAGAATTTTTGAGCTCGAGGAGTTTTTGGATGCTTCTCAGTCAGGTAAATCATCATTACACGCATACACAATGTGGCGATGTGCACAAATCTTGACGATTATGGACATACCTAGACAGAACTTGACCATAAATCATAATCTTTTACACAATCTTTTACACATACCTAGACAGAACTATTCTGATATCTCCTTGATTTAGAAGTCCGATCTGAACTTGGGCTGATCAGATTGTCCCTTTTTCTCCTTTCAATCAGTTTCAGGTGTTTTGTCAAGAAATCACACGGGTCATCTGGATTCAGAAGATCTCATTTCCTTTTCCGAGGTGGATATCATTACCCCTGCGCAGAAATTGTTGGCTAGCAAGTTAACATGCAAAGTAGAGCCGGGAAAAAGCCTGCTTGTAACAGGTCAGTGAATTTTATCTTTGTCGTTTTGTAAACTGACTAAATGAGCTAAGAGCTGACACAACTGCAAAACCTTTAGGTCCAAATGGCAGTGGGAAGAGTTCCGTATTTAGAGTCCTTAGAGAGGTTTGGCCCATAGTCAGTGGAAGACTTGTAAAGCCATCGCTGAATATGGAAGAATGTGGTTTAGGAAACGGCATCTTTTTTGTTCCCCAGCGACCTTATACATGTTTAGGGACACTGAGAGATCAAATGATATACCCTCTCTCTAAAGAAGACGCTGAGAGGAGAGTAGCCAAATTGTTCAACAAAGGTATGCTGTTAATTATCGTTTGACTTGTCATATTCTTAAAGGTTTATTTCCAAAACGATGATCGCTACAAGCATGTCACTCTCTTAACTCTTTTAACTTGTGGGAATTATGGAAAGTAGGAGGTCAAAGCTCGGCAGATGCTGGAAGCTTTCTAGATGCCCACTTGAAAAGCATTCTGGAGAATGTTAGGTTAATATATCTTTTAGAAAGGGACGAAGCTGGTTGGGATGCTGATCTCAATTGGGAAGACATGCTATCGCTTGGTGAGCAACAAAGACTTGGCATGGTAAGAGACCAAATCTTAAACTAGAAAACCTTTTGGTCACTGTCTTTTATTCACCTGATGATGGGTCTTATTTTGTTTTTCTGTGTCAATAGGCACGCTTATTCTTCCACAGGCCTAAATTTGGAATCCTCGACGAATGCACCAAGTAAATGATCAGTCTTCTTCTTTGTTCTCAAGTCTAATTTCAAATTAAATTCTGGGCGTTATTTGTAATCATTTGACGACCTGCTTGCAGTGCAACGAGTGTTGATGTAGAGGAACAACTGTATAGGGTTGCACAGGATATGGGCGTCACATTCATAACCTCGTCCCAAGTAAGTTGTGTGGCTACAAATACTATACAATCACGTCCGTCCTAATCTCCGGCTTTTCCTAAACCACTGATCTTATTATTATGTCAGCGTCCGGCTCTGATCCCATTCCATCGCTTCGAGCTAAGGCTGATCGATGGTGAGGGCAACTGGGAACTCCGTTCCATCAAACGTACAACCGATTGAGTTACCTTTTCACGGAAATTTTTGTCAAAAGAAGCTTCCCGTCTAATGGCGCTCCCGCAAGAGCAATGAAACCAGAGCATGTCAAGGATTAAGAAGAAAATAGATCGCGGGCAATTCCCATAAAAAAAAAGTATACATGGTATGGAATTTCATTTTGGACAATGCCCTTGATTATAGGATCCGAAAGGTAAACGAAGAAGATGCGTCGAAGCTGCGGTCATAGGATTTTATTTATGGATGATGTTTAGGAAATGCGATTCAACTGGGGCATATTGGGCTCCCCGGGAATACAATGTAGCATACATATGGCAATAGGACCTGTACAGTTTGTTTCCATCTTCACCTCCCAACCCACCAAAAAAAAAATAAAGGAAGATTTTTTTTTTCTATACCTGCTACTATTTTTTTCTTGGGAATGCTATGGCGAAAAAGTATTTTGCCCGAATGGATTCTAATGGCAAAAGCTGAGTGAACATGTTTTTGAAGTGATTGCTCAATGAATAGGCAAAATTGCAAAAATAACCCTAAATGTCGATTTATACTTCACCGCATGATCTTCTAGGGTTAGGGTTTTAGAAAAAAAAAACAAAAATGCTGAAAAGACCAATTTAGCCATTATGAAGTTGAATACGTGACACTTTTATATGTGAATCGGCAAAAAAATTTTGGAGTGAAAAACTTATTCTTTCATTTTTTCTAAAAATTTAAAACTCACAAACATTTTCTGATTTTTTTTCTTCTCCCAAAGAGATTTCGTTGCGATTCTATTAACAATTTTCTTAATTTTCTTGTTATACTTGTCAAATTTCTATCTATGACGAGATCTGACACTCCAAAATTGAAGAATTTGAGAATGCATAGAAAGTGTTCGATAAAAATCCTCAGAGAAATTTTGGCTCTTAAAATAGCATACTGGTCATATCGGTCAGACTTTGGTCATACGGTCAGAATTTAGTCTAACGGTCAGACTTTGAGTTAAGTTGATAGATTTTTTTACACATGGAATTAGATCATCAAAATGATGAAAATGTGTTTTTATAACCCTTAAACAACTTTTTGAATTGTTTAAACTTAATTTAGGTCTTTATTTTTCATGTAAAAATGGTCATACCGATCAGACTTTGATCATACGATCAGACTTTGGTCATGTAGTTAGACTTTGGTCAGACGATCAGACTTGTTGAAAATTGATGAATTTGTCATTTTAAAAATCTTAACATGGTAATAGTCATCCCATATAACAAATTTTCAAGTTTAAATCGGTCATACAATCAAATGATTACACGATCAGACTTTGGTCAGACAGTCAGACTTTGGTCATACGATCCGACTTTGGTCATACCGATCATACTTTGGTCAAACAATCAGATATTGGTCATATGGGCAGACTTTGGCCAGATGAGCAGACTTTGGTCATACCGATCATACTTTGTTAGATGATTATACTTTGATCATACGATCATACCGTCAGACTCGTCATTCTAGTCATTCTTTTTCAAAAATTATAAATTTATGAATTTAAAAGTGTTGATCAAACATGTTCTTTATATATAGAATTTTGTAGCTTATTAGGGTTTTGTTTTGATTCGATTCGATGGAATGGAATAATATAATTTAAGATTACACTAATCAAATTTCTCCTATATAGCGGAGATTCGATACTCCAAAGTTGAAGAATTTGAGAATGCATGAAAAATGTTCGATAAAAATTCTCAAAGAAATTTTAGCTCTTGAAATGTCATATTGATTATACTGATCAGACTTTGGTCATACTGATAATACTTTTTCATTGTAAATATAAAATATTAGTAGTATTTGTGTAACACATTAAAATTTCGAATCGTTTAAATTTAATTTAATTTAGACCTTTCATTTTCGTGTCTAAATGGTCAGACGGTCATACTATGGTCATCCACATATACAACTTTTCGAATCATTTAAATTTAATTTAGACATTTCATTTTCGTGTCCAAATAGTCAGACGGTCATACTATGGTTAGACGATCATACCTTGACCAGACAGTCTTACTCGTTCGAAATTGATGCAATAGTATTCTTATAACCCATATACAACTTTTTGAATCATTTAAATTTAATTGTTTTTTTTATACAATTGACTTATGTTGGGAGATTTATTTTTTCATGTGAAATTAGAATTCCAAAACGATGTAATAGTATTCTTATAATCCATACAACTTTTTGAATTGTTTAAATTTAATTTACGCCTTTTTTTTCGTACTCAAATGGTCAGATGATCATACCTTGGTCAGACGGTCATACCTGTTCGAAATCGCATAATACATCATTTTAAAAGTGTTAACATTGTAATAATCATATCGTATGACAGATTTCTCAAGTTGAAATTGGTCGTAGCAATACGGATTGAGCACCTTTTTTAGATGTCAATGTAACTCTTTCCAAAGAAGACCTAAAGTACTAGTAGTGTTTGTGTAACACATTGGATATAATTGACTTATGTTGAGAGATTTTTTTTCCATGTGAAATTAGAACTCCAAAACGATGCAATAGTATTCTTATAACCCTATACAACTTTTTGAATTGTTTAAATTTAATTTACGCCTTTCTTTTTCGTGTCCAAATGGTCATACGGTCACACGGTCATACCTTGGTCAGACGGTCAGACCTGTTCGAAATTGCTTGATTCATCGTTTTAAAAGTGTTAACATCGTAATAATCATATCATATGACAAATTTCTCAAGTTGAAATTGGTCGTAACAATATGGATTGAACATTTTTTTTGGATGTCAATGAAACTCTTTCCAAAGAAGACCTAAAGTACTAGTAGTGTTTGTATAACACATTGGATACAATTGACTTATGTTGAGAGATTTTTTTTTCCATGTGAAATTAGAACTCCAAAACGATGCAATGGTATTCTTATAACCCTATACAACTTTTTAAATTGTTTAAATTTAATTTATGCCTTTCTTTTTCGTGCCCAAATGGTCATACGGTTATGCGGTCAGACGGTCATACCGTGGTCAGACAGTTAGACATGTTCGAAATTGCTTGATTCATCGTTTTAAAAGTGTTAACATCGTAATAATCATATCATATGACAAATTTCTCAAGTTGAAATTGGTCGTAACAATATGGATTGAGTACTTTTTTGGATGTCAATGTAACTCTTTCCAAAAAAGACCTAAAGTACTAGTAGTGTTTGTTTAACACATTGGATACAATTGACTTATGTTGAGAGATTTTTTTTTCATGTGAAATTAGAACTCCAAAACGATGCAGTGGTATTTTTATAATCCATATACAACTTTTTAAATAGTTTAAATTTAATTTAGGCATTTCTTTTTCGTACCCAAATGGTCATACGGTCATATGGTCAGACGGTCATACCTTGGTCAGACGGTCATACTTGTTCGAAATCGCATAATCCATCGTTTTAAAAGTGTTAACAAAGTAATAATCATATCATATGACAAATTTCTCAAGTTGAAATTGATCGTAACAATATGGATTGAGCACTTTTTTTGGATGTCAATGTAACTCTTTCCAAAGAAGACCTAAAGTACTAGTAGTGTTTGTGTAACACATTGGATACAATTGACTTATGTTGATAGATTTTTTTTCATGTGAAATTAGAACTCCAAAACGATGCAATAGTATTTTTATAATCCCTATACAACTTTTTAAATAGTTTAAATTTAATTTAGGCCTTTCTTTTTCGTAGCCAAATGGTCATACGGTCATATGGTCAGACGGTCATACCTTGGTCAGACGGTCATACTTGTTCGAAATCGCATAATCCATCGTTTTAAAAGTGTTAACAAAGTAATAATCATATCATGTCACAAATTTTATGAGTATGACCAGTTTGGCCAATTTGATGATTATGATCATTATTACCAATTTTGCGAGTATGACCGGTTTGACCAAATTGACAAGTATGATCAGTTTAGGAGTGTGACCAGTGTGACCATTTCGACATGTATATATGACCAGTTTACCGAATTTTTCTATTTTGACGAATTTCACAAATTTAACGATTTCGACCAGTTTGAGTCACGTGAATCATGGTATTGCTGATAAATATGTCACATTTGTTTCATCTGTATCATATGAATTAAATATAAAGATGACAAAAACAAATCACAAATGCTCACACTTAATAATAAATATTAGAAAAATATTTATGGATGATTCATATATGTGTTTAATCGATGAATTGTCTCAAGCTTTTGCTTGTTTTTCACAACAAATTAGTTGAAAAAAAATGTTGTATATGAAGAGAGTTTAGAGACAGAGAATGTTGGAGAGGAGAGAGAGAGTTTGCAGGAACGAAAAGAGAGAGAGAGGTGGGAGAGGAGAGAGAGAGCTAAAATGTTTTTATTTTAAATTTAATAATAATTAAAAAGGTAAGGGTATTTTTGGAAAGATACAATTATAAGGTTAGGAGATGATGATGTTTTTTTTTTTTTTAAAGCCAGGGTCATGACGTGAAGTAAAAATGATATTTAAAGTCATTTTTGCAATTCCCCCAATTAATAACTGAGTTTATCGAATGGAATATATATATATATATATATATATATAAACAAAATCACCTGATCGGATTCTAGATCTTGTTGTCCCTTCAGACCGTGGGAAGAGCAGAGTTGTAGTTGTAGCTGTTCGTTCATACGGATTCTCATGCATTTCATAAATATCTCAAAGTGTTTTCTGTTTCTTTTCAAACTGGTTTGCTCCAAGTTCCCAAGTTGCAGCACTCTCTCTCTCTCTCACAATGGTCCTTTTCGTCTTTAATGACTAATAAATGATTCACCTCTCTCATTTTTTGAAAGGAAAAAAAAAAACCCATAAAATATCCCCGTTAGCTCTGAGGAGGAGAAGAAAAACCAGACAGGAGAAATGGAGAGAGAGTCGCCGGTGAGGAAGCCTCACACTTCCACCGCCGATCTGCTGGCGTGGGAGGGGCGTGCCCCTCTCACCAGGTAGGCACATGCACATCTCCTCCACAAATGTCCCTTCTCTCTCCTTCCGTTTCTGGTTAGGTCTCTCACCGTCGTTCTCCGTTATGGTCTCGTTCATTTTCAGCCGTCGGATGGAATCAGCAAGGCGCTCTTCGGCGGTCAGGTCACTGATGAAGAAGCCCAAGCGCTCAACAAAAAGTGAAAAGACAATCTCGTGATCTCTCTTTCTTGCTTTCTTTTCTTGTCCTCTCGTGCGAATTGGGTTTGAATTTATTTCTCATCCAACTTTTTTCTTTCTTTCTGGGTTTCTGTTGATCATATCTCGATTTCTTGCTGTTGTAGAGTTTCTTGTTCTGTTTCTGTTCTGTCTGTTGGATTCAGTCATTGCCTTCACTGTATATCCTAGGATTGAAACTAATGAAAGGGATGGGATCGTGCTCTTATGTTTTTGAGGCCCACCATGTTTTACAGAACTTGGTTTTCTATTTAATGATTTTTTTTTTTGGGTTTTATCATATCAAAGAAACGTTTCTTTTTTCCATGAACAAGGTTTCATCATCTTCCAGTTTTGTTGGAGCTTGGCTTTCTCCTTCCTCCCTTGTTCTTCTAGGCTCTGATTTCTGTCTCTTAAGATCAATATATATATATATAGGGCAATGCGCATGTGTTCTATGCGTTGCTGCAGGAAGAATTGTTCCGGGTACAAGTTGAAAGAGATGACTGGCAGTGGCATCTTCTCCGGGAGAGGAAACAGTGTGTCTGAATCCGATGATGCTAGTCCGAGCAACAAGACGGGGCTCCGCTACTATCAGGTACTTGTTTCATGCAGTTACTTTATTTCATTTCTGAGGGGGAAGAAACACTGTTCTCAAGCGATTGTTCCTGTATTTGCAGCAAACGTTGAACGGAATGAGCCAGATAACGTTCAGTGCTGATGGGGCTGTTTCTCCCAAGAAACCAACCACTTTACCCGAGGTTGCAAAACAACGAGAGCTGAGCGGGACCTTACAGGCTGAATCCGACTCAAAGAACAACAAGAAGCAGATGTCGGATGCCAAGATCAAAGAGATCAGTGGCCATGACATATTCGGATCTCCACCCGAGATCCAACCTCAGTCCTCGGCCACTTCTGCTCGATCACAAGGAGCCAAAGAAAGCATAGACATGGGAGAGCCTGCTCCAAGGAACCTCCGGACTTCTGTTAAAGTTTCCAACGTGAGTTTCTCTTTCTTTGCATCTAATATAATAACTGTTCGTGCATGGAAGAAAATCTTTGATAAGACATTCGTATTTCCATTAAAGCCTGCGGGAGGACAGAGCAGCAATGTCCTGTTCAGCGAGGAATCAGTGGTGAAGCCGTACAAAAAGATACACAACCAGAAGTTTCAGGAGCTGACTGGCAATGATATCTTCAAAGGGGATGGGCCTCCTCCTGGTTCAGCGGAGAGGCAGCTGAGCTCAGCTAAACTCCGGGAAATGAGTGGCAATAACATATTTGCGGACGGGAAGTCGGAATCCCGGGACTATTTCGGAGGGGTGAGGAAGCCTCCGGGTGGCGAGAGCAGTATTTCATTGGTCTAAAGCCCTCCCGTCTCACTTGGTTTAATGTTTAGGGTTTAGATTGCGGGTTAAGCCCCGTTGTAAGGAGTGTTGAGACTTAAAGATCTGTTTAGTAGGATCATTCGTTCACTTTGGGTTAAATGTGTGTTTTAAGTAACATGTATGTGCTGTTTGCTGGTTCAGTTAAAAAGATCTTGTTAATGTGTTTCCTCTGTCTTCTTTCTCTCTGATCTTGATTCTTTTTTTTAAAAAAAAAGGATAAAAATAATCAAAGGCGACTCCACTGGGGATCGAACCCAGAATCTCTGGTTCCGTAGACCAGCGCCTTATCCATTGGGCCATGGAGTCTTTTAGTAAGCATCGATAAAGTAATGAAAATTCTCATCCATATGGAAACGTAAAGCTTCCGACCCCTCTCACCAATAGACGGTACGATGGATGATGAGGATGATCCTGTTTAGTTAAAATGTCACACTTTCATGCCGTCCCCCTCCCACCCTCTAACAAATCTTCAGAATTAGTTGAAGAAGAAGAATCCAAAGAGAGAGAGAGAGAGAGAGAGACGAGAATCCAGATGGTTTTCACAAATTCTATCTATGGCGTGTCTCACCGTAGTCAGAGTTTTCTTTGCCCAGAAACAGAATGTGAGAGGGTAGACTCTGTTTTTGGCGTATATTCCTCAAGGGGTCGTGTTATTTCGGGGAATTGAAGCTCTAAAAATAGGGGGATTGACGAAAAAAAGATGGCGAAACACAGGTCCTTCAGAAGCAAAGCAGTTCACTTTGTGGCTGATCTTACCACCGACCTCCTTAATCCCATCTCTGACAAGCCCTCCTCTAGGCTGTCTCCTTCCCTTCCTCCTCCTCCGGTACACTAACTTCTTCCCTTCTTTTTCTTGTGTTATTCTTGTGAAAAAGATCCCCCTTTTTTTGTTTGCTAGATACAGTTTCTTGAAAAGGGTTGTTGGGTTTCACGTTGAATCGTTCTTAGTATTGTCTGTTCTTCGTTTTTGGGTTTCTGGTTTGTTTTGATTGGGTTTCTGGGGAATTTGATGTTGCGGGTTTTCAGTTGTCTGCTTTTGTTTTGGCAGAATTTGTGGGAAATCGAAATGTACTTGGGTTCAATGATCCAATCAATAGACATGATTCATTTACGAATGTACGTCTTCTAAGTTCTAATGTATCTGTACGCTTAATTGCTTCAGTTTTTACGCTGTGTAGAGAAAAAGTTTTGAACTCCCTAAATTCAATGTTTTGGTGATTTCTTGGTGGGTCAGAACAAGCAGTGAAGACTCAGAATCATGTTAGATATTTTCAATCATTTTGAACATTTTCCATGAGGATTAAGGGTTGTTTTGGCTCGGTTTTGTGCTTATGATGCCTGATAGAAATCAGAGTATATCCACCATGGAAGTTCAAGTTATAGGATCTTGACTGAGCTCTTCACATTACTGATAATTTGCATTTTGATCTTTCCGATAGGAGGATGAAATCGGATATAGAAGAAGAAACCAACTAGAGCCAATCACTGAAGAGCAGGTTAAGGATTTGGTTGACGAGCCAGACACTTCTTCTCTCACTGCATTCCTCTATTCTCTACTGGTCTCAGATCCCAAAGATAAAGCTGGTCACGACAAACAAGAGGATTCCCAGGTGGAAACTAGTGATAAATCGTGGGTTAATGCTGGTACAATGAAGGAGACTGATGGAAAGAAAAGCTTGCTTTCCAAGTATAAGCAAGCCTTAAGATTTTTTTATCAGGCTGCTAAGTTTGGCGGCTTCAAGAGTCAGGAGAAGAAGAGCAATTCCGATGTAAAGCAGGAAGAAGAAACTGAAAATGATGGCCTGGAGATGAAGCATATGCAGAATGTCAAAGAGGAGACAATGGTACAAGCAAACTTGAGCTTACCAGAAGCTTCAGAGCCGTCTAGGCTTCTTTCAGAACGAACAAGACAGTCCCTATATGCTTCACTCCCTGCACTTATCCAAGGAAGGAAATGGCTATTGCTTTACAGGTGAAGAAGCCACATTCAACGTCGTTTTATAATTGATTCTGTGTTCTCTCATCTAAAGGCAATTGTTTGATGGTTGATGTGTTGACATTTTCCAGCACTTGGAGGCATGGTATATCACTCTCCACACTCTACAGGAAAAGCCTGCTTTGGCCTGGTCTGAGCTTACTGGTAAAGAATGTTTAATTCATTTGGATGAAGGAGTTTCATCTCCAAAACCAGAGTTTTGTTTTACTTGATCTAAATTGATATTTTTTCTTTGGTCTTGTACCCGTTTTTCTGATATCCGGATCAAACTTTCATGTACATTTCTCTTCTTTTTCACCATTCGTCCATTTCCTGTCCCGTGTTCTGATATATAATTATGTATTTGGCGGTCTCATTTCAGCAAGCATGTTTCTTATTTCAGGTTGTTGGGGACAGAAAAGGCACCGTCTTTGGTGGTCTCGTCGAAGCACCTCTGATTCCAACCGATAAGAAATATCAGGTTGTGCACCAAATCTTAGATTAACATGTATGTACATGTATGTGTTGTTTTCTTCTTCTTATTCTTCATGTTCGATGCTTATCAGGGAGGCAACAATACATTTGTTTTCACAAACAAGTCCGGACAGCCCATTATATTCCGTCCCACTGGAGCGAATAGGTACTTCACTTTGTGCTCTAAAGAGTTTATAGCTCTTGGAGGGGGTGGGCATTTCGCTCTCTATCTGGACAGAGACCTGTAAGGCTAAGAATTCTTAACAAAGCTGTATTCTGTTGTGATCAAAATGATCATGTTAGTCGTTTACTTTCGTCATTTCATCGTATTCTCTTCAATGGAAAAAGGTTGAATGGATCAAGCGCGTATTCTGAGACATACGGGAACCCTTGTCTCTCCAACTCTCAGGACTTTGAAATCAAGGAGGTCGAGGTACCGTTCTCACCCGGAATCTCGCCCTGAAACCCCCGCGTATTCTCTCTGTTTCGATTTGTGTCACGAAACACTTGTGGTTCTCTCTGTCTGCAGCTGTGGGGGTTTGTGTACGGCTCAAAGTATGAGGAGATACTTGCTCTCAGCAAAACAGTGGAGCCTGGAATATGCAGGTGGTGAATATGGATATTATGGATATGGATATGATGAAATCAATGTGGGTTTTGCTTCTTCTTCATTTTTTTGTTTTTTTGTGTAAATGCTTTTAACGTTTTGCATTGCAAAGAATCTGATGAATCAAACTGTTGTTAATTGGAGTGGATGACAAATGACAATGCTGATCCTTTGCTATTCCTATATATAATTTCTTTTTCCTGATATTGTCTGTTAATTCATGTATTGATTTAGATTTATCTCTCTTTTTTTTTTTCAAGTATGGTTTTAGCATATTTAAGTATATAGGATCCTTTTTTTAAGTTTAATCACTTTTATATAAAAAAAAAAAGTTTAATCACGATTTTTTTTTATAAAAAAAATTGTGGAATAAAAATAATAAACTTTTGTTTAGAATTCATGTCTTGATAATAAATCAGGAAAGATTTTGGGCTTAGAGAGGCCCATTGGGCCCATATGGCTCAAACATATTGAAGTTAATGCGAGGGGAGTAGAGAGAGGGGTAGGGCCTAAACCTCGCAGAAAAACCCTTTTCTTCGACATTCGCCCGAGGAAGTTCGATCGAAATCGATCGTCGTGAAGAATGGGGAGCAGATTGGGAAGACGGGTCGTTCACTTCGCGAATCTTCCTGGATTCAACATTAAGGTAACGATCAAGCTTCTGATGCCCAACACCTTCACCAACATCACCGAAATCGCCCTCAAACCCATACCTTCCGCTTCCAAGATCGAGATCAAGCGCGTCCTCGAGTCGCTCTATGGCTTCGAGGTCGACAAGGTTCGGACGCTGAACATGGATGGCAAGAAGAAGAAGCGAGGTGGTTTGCTCATCGCCAAGCCTGACTACAAGAAGGCCTACGTCACTCTCCGGAATCCTCTGTCGCTGTCCAAGGATCTGTTTCCGGTGAAGTTCATCGAGGAAGAGAAGCGAAGCAAGCAGAAAGGTTCGAGCTTTGTGGAGGAGGAGGGTGACAAGAGTAGGCACTGGCTTGACGGGAGGGAGAGGGATCGCGGCGGAAATGAGAGGGGAAGGTCTCGCCGCGGCGGCGACCCGGCGGCGGGGGCGAAGTTCCCATGGAGCAGCATGAGGATTGGTGGTAAGTAGGGCTTCTAGGAGACGTTTTCGTGGTGTTACGGATTTCGAACTTCATTAACAAATACCTATTAGGGTTTGTGTTATCACCTGCTTTGTATGGGGAATTTTTCAGTGTAGAATTCGTTGTTGCTGAAATTGGATCATCCATTTTGTTCTCCAGAAGTGCACGAGCACAATGCTCAAATCCGTTTCCGTTGCTTACGCTTTTTGGTTTAAGTAAAAGGAACATGATGGAGTTTTTACTTGTTGTGGGATTGAATTTGATAATATGGGTTAAATGAATTTTCTTGTTTGCAATTCTCTGCTTGAAAGTGTTGGGCTGTCTTGTCTTGTGGCTTCATGTTCTTGTCTGCAGTTCTTCTCATGAACTGAGAGATGGTGATCTGACAGAAACGCAACAAGTTAAGAACTTTACTTTGTGTAAGGCATCCATTGCTAAGTAGAATCTGTTGGTTCGATAAAATCGGTTCAAGATTTGCGTCAATGGTTGCTTGCTTCCTTGTTTCCTGCACAAGACCGAGACCACTTGTCAAGATTACGCGCAGTGCAGTTTTGTTTCCAAGTCACTGCGATATGCTCAAGTTTCTGCTACATAGTCAATGGTCAAGCGAAGAAGAAGGATGATTCATGCCGTATATATATGTGCGTGCGTGTAATGGATCTATGTGTTATCGTTTATCATGATCATCTGCAACTGCATTACGTTTTTCTAATCTAATTCATGGATAGAGTTTTTGATCTGTCAAACCGCGTTGTACCCCCCTACGGTCGTAATTCGGAGGGAGGAGTGAGGACAAATTCGGTATTTAAAGAGGCCGTCCTCGTGGTCGTGCCTGGCGGTTTCTTCTCCTTCCCAGAATAGGCGCGTCTTCAACTCCAAACATTCTCCCTCTCTCTCTCTCTCTCTCGAGCGTTTGAGCTTGAATCTGGCCTTATTTCGGATCTAAATAACGTTTCCTGCGATCTGAGATTTCAAAAATGGCGCCGGTATCACCATTGGCGAAGTACAAGTTGGTATTCTTAGGAGATCAATCTGTGGGGAAAACCAGCATCATCACTCGCTTCATGTACGACAAGTTCGACACCACTTACCAGGTAAAAACCCTTCCTCCCCCCTTTCAATTTCCCTCGTACCGTTTCTGTTTCTGTCGATTGTTGCTTGTTTGATCAGATCATTGATGGTATCGGCATGGCTTTTCTTTAGTGAAGATTTCCTCCGTTTTTTCCTCCCTGATCATCCGAATGAAAATTTTGCTTCGATTTCATGGAAATTTCGTGGGCTCGTCCTCTGTCGTGGATCTTTTAAAATAGTTTGGAGGCTGTTGACATGTCTGCAGGCTACCATCGGAATCGATTTCTTGTCAAAAACAATGTACCTTGAAGACCGTACAGTCCGTCTGCAGCTATGGTGAGATGAGATGACCTTCCTCCTGAAATCTCTTTCCTTTTGTTGTTTTCAAGTGTGGGTTAATCATACAAATGGCAATGACAATGATCAATGGAATAATCTTTGAGCTTAACGACCGGTTTCTGCCTCTAAAACCGAATGATGGAAAAGGGACACAGCTGGGCAAGAGAGATTTAGGAGTCTTATTCCAAGTTACATCCGGGATTCCTCAGTTGCCGTAGTTGTATATGATGTAGCCAGTGAGTTGTCTTGTCCCCCCCCCCCCCCCCC